ACAAATATTTCGGACATTCCCCGGTAACAGTCAACATTCTCTTGATTTCATTCGTAACAGTAATACTTCAACATTTGAACTAAATTAATATTTTCTCCTTTTAACTAACGATTCAATTTTGTTTCAAAAGATAACCAACTATACTTTATTTACATTACTGAATATACATATCTTACTTATTCAAAATATCTGATCTGAGCCAACATTTACATTTTCCGAGGAAGTATTTGCCAAATGGGTGTGAAACACTAATTGAAAAGCAATTGTTGATGGCTCACATCCATTTTCACTATATAATATAAGATTAATCGCCGACCTGGTGGCCGAGTGGTTAGCGTGCCTGACTGTGGAGCCGCTGGTCACGGGTTCGAATCCTGCTCAGGGCATGGATGTTTCTTTCTCTCTGTGTTCTATATCCTTTCTCCTTTGTGTGTGAATGTGACCTGCCCTATAAACGGGTTTGTGGTTGTGTGACGTGGGCGGCGCTGCTCCACTGCCGTGGCTTCGCCACAGGTGCCTACTGGGGAACGTGAAGAGAGTAGCAGTTTTGGCATTTCTGTGGCCAATGTGACAACCGCCAAGTACCCACCATTAAAAAAAATTTTTTTTATATATAAGAGAAATCTATTGACATTTACAAGTAGTCGAAATCATTTTAAACTAGAATTATTAAGCCAAAAATTAAAAAGAATTTTTTTAAAAATTCATTACCTTTTTAAATATAAAAATGAATGTAACGGCAAGTACGTAGTTATTGGTAGCTACGACTATTTAACCAATTAGGCCAAGCATCCTATTAATAAGACTTTACTTATTATTATCATATTTATTAGACATTTTTTATTAATAGTAAATAATTGAGACAGATTTGTTTCCTAATTACCATGGTCGTCCGGAAAGTGGGTGCCGATTTTTGACGGGTGGAGCTCCCAAAGATCCACTAAAAATATTCAAGTGGAAGTAAATTTTATACCATATAATATATTTATTCTTGTCTTTAAAAATGAGTCATTAAAATTTCACAATCACCGAAGAGAATCGGAAACCTTTAGCATATAATGAAATCTGATACAAGAATATTATCTAAATTAAAGTGGTTGCGAAATTAGGAAAATTTCAAAATTGCTTTAATGAGTAGTTTGAAACCACTTAAATGTTTTTGGAGGATTTTTGGGAGCAACGAAGATTGGCACGAACCATCCGGACGGCATCCTGCACACCCTCCCTCCATCTAAAGTTTTCGTGAAATTTTTAAAACAAGCATGCCTCTTACGCGCTTTGAAAAACCTTTTTCCCAATGGAAGATAAATAACAATTATACTTAATTCATCTTTTGCTAGTACTTAAAATACAAAACGATTGTTAAACTTAAACTGTATAAAATATCTGGGCACTTGAGTTCGCTTGCGGCCCCATTCATTTTAAGCTTGATCTTTGTGGTGATTCGATGAGGTTGTAGAATGCAAATGAAGTAAAGGAATATTCATGTGGATCATTGAGGTTTGGACTGTGTAATTATATGCAGTAGGGTGATAAGACTATATTGTAAAAGTATGAACTTTAACTAAGCTGATATAATGAAATTGAGGATATGTATATGCTCTTGATGTCGGGACAAAAACAAAACAATAGCTTGTTTATCCTTCTTCGTGTATGTTTAAGCTATTTAAATGTAAAGTAGTTAAAATTTTCTTTGCATTAAATTAACGAAAGCAAGAATCAAGCAAGATTTTTAAAAAATTTAAAATCTTAGGTAAACCCCAAAAAATTGCACTAACAGGTGTGAAAAAATAACATTTCTGGTATTTCAAAAGGGCCCAAAAGCATACCTTCTTTTCACACTTTCCAATTTATTATCCAAGTTACTTATATGTGGTAATGGTAAAATCTTTTCTTTTAAGTCTAATTGTTTTTAAATAATTAACACTATACTATAAGGGGAAATATTATTGAAAACTGCGAAAATCCAGTAGTAATCGAGCAGCATGAATAGAAGACCTATGCGCTCATCACAATATTTTAATGGTATTAGCATATAAATTTTAGGATCATATTTGTGTAAACATTATATTATCATATTTGTGTAAACATATTAAAGATATCTTTTTCAAATTGAATGCATAATAGAATTTAATATATTATTTTTTTTAAACAATTTAAAGCAAATGTGACGCGTGACATATACATTGCGCAAAATGGAAAACAGATCATCCTGTGTAACTTTTGATCTAATGATTGGACCTTCACCTTCTCGGATTCAATCTTAAAGGTTTAAGAAAGTGTTCTCAAATGTGCAAATTAATCGAAAAAAGATTATATTTTAAGTTATGAAATCAGACACGAAAACGTACTTTCTCCGAATAAACATACCTTTTTTTCCGATGGATTCGGCACCAAAATATCGGGGGGAGACGCAATCTGGGAAACATGGTCCGCAAAGTTTGGTCAGGAGAGAATCCTAAAGTTTGAACTGCTTAATGTTAATTTTACATTTCGCGTATTGCATCATATTTCGAGAAATTTTAATGCGAATGGAAAATTTTTTGCTCAAAATTATAAACTTCATTTATACAAAGATAATTCCATGCAAGATATGACTTTTACTAAATATTTATTATTTTTTAGCATTTTATTCAAGGTCGAAAAAGTTTGAATTGCAAGGCATGCAATTTTTTACATCATTTTAAAGAATGCAATTTTAAAAGGTAAAATTCTGAATTTGAGCGAAATCGAACGAATAGTTTGAAAGAAATCAAATTTTGAAAAAAAAATCTTAGTTTTATAATTTCATTAGCATATTTGAAGTCATCCTCTCGAACCATTAACATGGATGACTTGAAAGTGAAGATCCTATCATTAAATCAATAGTTATTCAGGGTGGCCCGCTTATTTTTTTGCTCACTGTATTTCGATGAACATTGGAAGTTCATATTAAATTACTTTTATTCAATTATATTCACTGGAGACAAGATTTAATAATAATAAAAAAATTCAATTGAGAGATAACGAAGCTGACTTCACTTCACTTACCAATCAACTAAAAAATCATTAACGATCAATCAGTTACTAGTAAAAACCAATAGGAATTCGTTTCGACTTGAAGGAAAATAAGAATCATCCAACAAGAATAATCTCAAACAACTTGTTGCCATTCATAACCACAAAATCACGGAAATGGCATTCTACTGAAGTGATATAATTTAGCTTCTAGCTTGGACATCTTTATACTAGAGGTTATCAAAGACGGATCTGGAAGTAAGTTCAGTTTTGGGTGCAAGTTTTTGATTATCAAGAATGCCTCTGGCAACTAAAAATGTCAAAAGTAGTGGAAACTTAATTCATTTTTGTTTATTTATAGTCTCTTTAATTATTCAATCGTAACTACCACTCTCTATGACAGAAATGCCGGGTAGACTATATTTGAGGGTGCCCCTTGATTCTCGCCAAGTTATGATCGCGGTTGATCTCCAAGCTGGGCGATTTTGGAACCCAATCGTGATTCTGATTGGTTTAGATTTTAGCGTTATTTTTAAATGTTCAACGTTATATATGTAATTTCAGAGATCCGTTAGTTCTACGTTGGATACCGGCTGGTAAGGTTACTTTTGCTTCTGGTCAATAAGATCGAAGGTATGTGGGCAGTCATAAAAAGGGATTTAAGAAAAAAATGCCACCGCTAGTCCGGTATTACAGGCGCCATTTTCGATTCGTATTTCGTCGTATTTATGTGGCGATGGAGGTACACAGATTCTATTCATGATAAATTTAGACAGTATCTAACTATTATTAGATAATTCTGTGCACCTAAATCTGAGAATATTCAAACTTATTGAAGGAGTTACTTTTTTTTCCTTTTCTTTCTGCGCCTACTCCATTAATTTTTGCTTCGATTCAAAATCCTCTTGGGTTTATTAATTTTGCTTATTTTGGGTTCATTGCAAGTTTTGGCCGATGTTTTGTTGAAATTTTGCAATGTTTTATTGAAATATCACTATGTTTTGACCGTCATTCCTGTTACCCGGTGTTCCTCGCAAAAGGAATAGCGCCAAACATAAGTCACCAATTTCGCCAAGGGGCACCCTCAAGTATATTTTTCCCGAAATGCCAACTTGCTCCGCTTTATAAAGAAGTATTTTCTAGTGGTATCGAAATTCAAGTTATTTTTGGTTTAATATTTTTCATTTTAAATAATTTTTCCATCACTACTGATCAAAAATTCTATGTATCATATGAAATGTAACTTTTTTATACTATACTCGTGGTTACTCTTTTAAAAAGTAGGCTTATTTATCCTTTTTTTATTACAAATTTTATTATTTAATTAGTCATCAATTTATTAAAACTTCTGAATAAGGCGGAACAGTTGGCATCTCTGCATACATTTCAAATTATTCATATCTAAAGCAGAAACACTTTCAATAGTAAACTGAAATAAATATGCCATAAAAAGTTGCTAATCTCTTTTGAATAAAATTTTGAATTTTCTCCACTTAGTAGCCCATGGCAACCCTGCTTTTAGTGACACCTCTACTATGGAAATCCATGTCGTATTTTTACAAAGTAGGCTAGTGTGATAAAGTTTAAAAAAAAAACCAACTAAATGACAAATCGTGAAAAAAAATTGCGATATAGTAAATTTGCACAGTGTTGTTTATTGTTAATGATAATTATATAATCGATATTAAAATCAGATATAATATTAAATGAGATATAATAAAGTCAGATTATAATAAAATTAGTAGCAGAACTGCAATTATAATTACGCAATAAAATTCTATCGTCTCAAATCAAAGTAGGCTCTAACAGATTTTTTAATAAAATATAATAATAATTTTATTCATATTCTTAAAAGAAATATGGAAAATTATAATTTCTAACATTCACTACACTCTGGAATCGAACAATAAGATTTAAATGATTTTACGAAACAATTGTTAGTTACTTAATATTAGTTATATTAAAAAAAGAGGTTTAAACTTTGCTTTTTTTTTCAGATGAGAAGACATTTGAAAAAATTTAAAGAAAATAAAGATGCTCAAGATAAAAAAATAAAAGGTCAGAGTATTATGATAGTGTTACTAAAGGTAATACAGATGCGAAAAATAATTTTATAGAAATGAATAAATTAAAAAACCAAAATTGATCCAAATATATTTATAGATAAATATTAGAGATACATGAGGAAAAAGGGGGAAAAAATGAAGGAGATTAATCGAAATTAGAAAGAAAGTTTAAAATAAAGAGTGGGACAAACAAACAAAAAGAATTGTCATTCATCGTCTTAGATCAAAGTCATAAATAAAGCTAGTTTAAAAAGATAACCGAAGGTCTTAAAAGAAAGACAATAAAAAAAAATTATCTGAAGGAAAGAAAAAAGTTAATAAAGAAAATTTAATTAGAGATATTCAAGAAAAAACTGATAGTGTTAAAAGAAATAGAAGAAAAATGAATATCATAGGTCCTGACCAAATATCCGAAACAAATGCTGTACACACTCGAAATACTCCAGGATTTATAAGTACTGACATACAAAGCGATGGTCAGCAATCGCCAGGTTCAAAGAAGAAAAGCTACAAAATTTCAAAATTAAAGAATCCAGATTCTGATATTCGTTTTGATCAGATTCACGAAAAAAATATTTGCAGAAAAATTTTGTGGGCACTCATTTTTGTAATTGGAAGTACTGTAGCCTTTTACCGCGGCATTCAGTTCACGATGCAGTATTTGAGTTATCCTGTGATGGTTAACTTGCAGATGGAATACGGAGGAAGCTTTCCAGCCGTTACCGTATGCAATCTTAACAGAATACGGGGACAGTATTACAAATGCTTCAAAAAGAATACACCGATTGAAAAGTGCCGGCGTTGGGGTAAAGGTTTCTTGAATGAACCGCAACACCTTACCCTATCTGAAAGACGACTGTTGCTTTCGTGCAATTTATTCAACAAAACTGTTCTCAGTGAAGAGGAAAAGGAAACATTCTTCATTCTGCCACCTTTTCAACAATCAGAAGAAGATTTAAAAGCGAACTCTGAAAGAAAAGGAATGATCGAACTGAAAGAGTTCTTGGACATCTATCTAAAAGCGGGGGAGAGAAAGCGTCAAAATTACAGCAATCAGGCACAAGACACGGTGAGATGGTGTTCATTCAACGGGGAAGTATGTTCTTGGAAAAATTTTACTTTAACTCGAAGCTTCCGGCATGGAAATTGTTTTACTTTTAAAAGGAACAAATCTCAAACTAGTGCATATTTGTTCGAGACAAGAGGATTAGAATTAATTCTCGATTTAAGCATTGAGAATTACATGCCCTACGTAACTCCAAGTAAGGGGTTCAAAATCGTAGTCCACGATCCAACTGAAAATCCTAACGTGGAAGAACATGGATTTTATGTTTTTCCAGGTACAGAGACAGACATTACTCTCGTTAAAAACCAGTTCAACAGATTGCCAACCCCGTATCAAGATGAATGCAAAAATTACGGATCAGGTACCACCCATGTCGACGAATGCATTCGACTGTGCATTCAGCAGCAAAGCTTCGACAAATGCGGTTGTGTAGATCCAACCATTTTCGAAAAGCGGCATGGGCAACACTTCTGCGATGTTACCAACGCAACGAATTCCTGCTGTTTAGATGATGCGATTGACTCCATGCTTGAAGAGAAAACCAGTACTTGCGACTGTCCTTTTCCTTGCAAGACAACTTCTTTTACCGAGCAAATTTCTAAAGCTGATTGGCCATCGGTGGAATATTTTAAAAAGCATTTACTCGATAAGTTAGATTTAAGTTTTGATTTGAGAAAACTGGCTCGTTTCAAGGAAGGGTTTTTGATGCTTCGAGTTCATCAGGAATTTTCAGGAAGCCACGTGTTTCAACAAGAACCGATGCATCAAAGTACGGAGGTGTTAAGCAATTTTGGCAACGATATAGGATTGTTCCTTGGTTTATCACTCGCAGTTATCTTTGAGGTGGTTGAATTAATACTACGATTTGCTAAACAGTTTTTGATGAAAGTTAAAATATTGGATAGCTGCAAATTGCCAGACTTTCATTAATGTGTACAGTGTGAAGAACAATTTACCCATAATAATTTTTGCTCGCTTGCTGAAAAATCAATGTTAATGGATCAAAAGGTTGTTAACCTCAAATATAATATTTAATAAGTGCTACCTCTTAATTTAGTCCAATAGTTATAGTAAAAAAAGTGTTTCTAAGGAAAAATTATACCCTAGATATTTTTGATGAAAAGCTTTGCTATTATAAATAATGCCTGAAAACTCACCTATTCTCCTCTGTACGCATCACCTCCTTTTATGTTATCACCGTCGTTCAACAGCCCAACCCAATATTGAGTCTACCAGTGTGTAACTCTGTAGCATTGCAATTTTCAACCAAATCCAGAAAATAATGAAACTCTTGAATCAAGTATTGGGAGAAATTTGTTTTCGCGGAGGACTTTTTGAGGAAACTAACTAGCATGGCAACGTTTAAAACTGCATTGCGTTTCATGGAGAGGAAAACTGCAAAAACCTCTTACGCTTTGCCTGACGGCAAGGAGATTCTAATCCACGATCCATCTACCACTGAGGATATTTTTCGTCAGCACTGTGGTCCCGGTGCAATCCGGGTGCGGAATTCGTATCGTCCAGCCATTACTGAGATTCGATGCCTGATCAACTCGTTGGGAGGCTAGCGCTCTATCCCCTGAGTCACCACGGTTTTTCCCCTTTTATTGAGAGAATTTGAGAAGGAGAATAAAATTTCTTCTAGATTGGCAAATGAGGTATATTTCTCGATATAGTTTTTATACGTTGAATTGAATGAGATCTATCTCGAGACGAAAAGTTTTACGTAAATTGTAGTGTCAGTTCCTCCTTATCTATCCATTGTTGTAACGTCAGAAAATCTGATATTGGAAATATCGTTACATGGACGAAGTGTATTAAATGAACACACAAGATACTCGTTAGTCCATTCTCAATTTTTAACCTTTTGATAACGGCTGGTGCGATAAGTGGACCAGAATGGCTTCATCCTACTAAGCGCCGCAAGCTAAAGGTTAAAGAGCTTTTCATTTTTCGGTATTGTGTGGCTATCATGTTGCCATCACGAATGTTATCTTCAGACTACTTATTGTGGAAAATAACGATTGCAAGAAATACAGTCCTTAACCTTATTGTTCTTCGAAAATGTTCATTCAATGTAAAATAATTAAAATTGTGCTTGATTATTATAATGCATTTTGATATTGCCTTTTTTCATATAAGCCTCATTGAAAATAAAATAATCGCATTCCTTTCGGAAAAGTAATCAGAATAATGGAGTCAGAATAATTCCTTTAGAATAATCATTCCCATTTTTTTTCTAGGCTACGGAACCTTAACTAAATTGAGGTTAAAATGCTTAGACAGCACACTGTCGCTAATAAACAAAGCGGTTGCAGGACTAAACTTAGCATTTCTATCTATTCATTTGAAATCTAATACTTTGTTTAAGTAGCAGGTTTTTAGCATCCTTGAAAAAAGAAGCGTCATATTTATTAAGATAGTGATCAATTTCATCTAATTTAAGGTTATTGTAGAGGGTTTTGCTTCCGAAGAACCAGTGTGCCCCCCGCGATGCATCTTAAGCAGCGGTCCGAATTAGAGCGCTACACGTAACGAAACTACCGTAGTCGCTCATTTTTCCCCCTTAGTTTGTGGAGAAGTGCGCAACTTTTAAAAAGAAGTAGTGAAGATGCGATGCAAAAAAAATAGTAGTTTATAGCGATTCCTGGCAACTACTTTTAACGTTAGTTAAGTAAACAAACTAAGTTCAAACGCAAGAAATTTTTCATGCTTCATTTGGTGCAAATCCTTCGCGTGCCCGTCAACGTACGCTATGAGATTGCTTCTGTGGCCGAGCTTTAATAAGATCTACGTTTGATGCTCGTCCCGCAGTGGACTGATCGTTAAGACACCGCTCCCAGCAGATCACCGAAGTCAAGCATCACTGGCTGCTGTCAGTGTGCGGGTGGGTGACCACTTGGATCAGTCTGCGGTAGGGATCGAGGGTGTGCGGTACGGGTCCTCTTTAAACTGCTCTACCTTAAAGTGCTCGACTTCGCGTGCGGGTCGTTGGGCTACCGAAGCGGGGGTGCCATCCCCTCTGCAGAGGATCAAAATTGTGATGGCTTGTCTTCGGATCATCCTCAGGGATGTTTCCCAGACCGACTCCAATAGCCCATTGTGCAGCTCTAGTGCGACGTAAATGAACTACCTACCTACGTTTGATGCTCAGAAAAATCGGTGCGAACACGGTCGAATTGTCCCTGACAAATCAAATCTTACATATCTGACTTTTTTTAAATTCGATTTCACAGAAACTATGAAGTGAGCATTTGTGACAGTATAATAAGTTTCGTAGTTTAAAATATCGATTGCATTAATTAATTAGCATATTTGTGGTCACCCCCTCAAACCATCCAGATTGAATCCTAGAACGTGAAAATCCGATCATTAGATCAAAAGTTATTCAGGGTGATCCGCGTTTTGTTTTTCCCACTGTGCTTCATTTCTGGAAGGATGTAAGAAGGCATTGATCATTCAAATCACAAATATTAGATAATTTCCATGCATTATTTAAAATAAATTTTCCCTGTCAAGAAAAGCATAGAGTTTAGAGGTTAAAAGAACAAATTCGTAAAAAAAGTGCTTTGAAATAAAAATAAAAAAAACTATTAAAACTTCTTAACTCTTCATATTTAACTAAACCAAATTTTTGTTCAAAATCATTTTGAATATTGGTGAAAGTTAAGTTCTCCTCTAAAGTTTGTTTTCTAAAAGTGGCGAAGTAGTGACGGCATTTCGAAAGCAATTTGTAGTTGCTACATTTAATAAAAAAAGTAGTTGTAGTTAATTACAAAGAAAAAATAGTTTTTCCGACCACTGATCTTAAGATCTTTTGTTCAAAAATATTTAATATATCAATTATATTAATTTGAGTTTTTGTAAGACTGTGGAAAGTAATTCGTTTTGGACAAGAGCCACAGGCGACTAAAATTTGTAAAAGGTGGTGACACTATATAATAGCGAAAATCTATTAAAGGGAATTAAAATAAGTATACTAAACAATTGGTACAGAAAAAGAAACCCAGATAAAAGAAAAGATCTGCTTCCTGGTGTTACGGATAGATCCCAAAGAAGAATATGGATAGGCAAAATGATCCAGAGTATGATACGGTTGACAGGAAACACGAATGGATCAGTAAACGAAACACAATTGTATTAGGAATAGTAAACGAATAACAAACGACAAACACAATTGGGTCAGGAACGGTAAACGAATAAAGCAAAATTATCGTACAATGAAGAATGATCTAATAATGCGGCACTTGAGCTTAAAGAAAACATCAGTGTATGAAATACCGGACAAATGTGTACCAGGCAGTTGTAGTAAAACCATCAATGCCTTAGACATATACATACCGGGCAAGTATAAACCGTCCATATTACGTTCAAGATCATTTGCATTATTTTATTTTATAACCGTCGTTGAGCAGCGGACCCAATTTTGGGTTCAAGACTCCTATAGGTTTACGACTATTTTGAAATCAATCCAGAAGACAAGGGAATTCCTGGATCAAGTATTGGGAGAAATTTGCCTTCGGGGAGGACTTTTTTTCATGAAACTAGCCCGCATTTGCGTTACATGGATAGGATAACCACGAATACCTTCCACGATTAGTCTGACGACAAGGGGACTCTAACCCATGATCTGACCCATCTATCGCTGAAGCTATTTTATGTCAGCACTGTGGTTGGTGCGAGCCGGGTGCGGAATCTGAATCGACCGGCCAGCGCAGGGAATGAAACCCGGTTCACCTCATTGGAAGGTGAACGCTCTATTTCCTGGGCCATCACGGCTCCATCTGCATTATTTCGAAAAATCATAGGTCTGTCTAAATAAAATAAAAAAATCATTATCCAAATTCCATGTAACATCGTCAGCAATATAACAAGTTCGCCCAGTAAAGAACTGTTTATTGTAAAAATCGGGGCAAATAATAATAAAAACAAGGTAAACAAAAGCAAGTAAAATATGAAAAGCAAAACAACGTTTGAAAAATCCTTAAAGCAGTAAAGTGATTGAGCCGTGGTGGCTCAGGGGATAAAGCGTTCGCCTACCAATGAGGTGAATGGGGTTCGAATCCCTACTATAGCTGGTCGTTTCGGATTCCGCATCCTACTCACACTGACCACAGTGCTGACATAAAATATCTTCAGTGGTAGACGGATCATGGTTTGTAGTTCCCCGCTCTAAGATAAGATGGAAACAGGATCTAGTTCCCACTCTCGCAACAACAACTTCCTTAGTAGCTCAAAAAACTTCTTTAAAAACCATTAAATAATCTTTTTTCTTCGCGAAATCCTCACAAAAACATCATGTAATAGTCGAAGGCATCTCCGGTGAGTCTTTTCCGGCCTCAGGGAGGTCTATCTTTCTATTTTTATTCTTTTGATTTCCGATGTTCCATTGATCTAGGCTTAGAGCATCAGATTGCCATTTTAACACGTCATCCACTGCAAGTGGTAATCATCCCTACTTTTGGCTTAAATCTTTATCAACTTATTGACTCTTTCTCTGATTTAAAACATTTCATTTCAATCCTCCATGTGATTTTCTATTCAGATATAATAGCTTTTTATTTTCCGGTGGTCTGGCACTCTAATTATTAGAATCTAAAAAGATTTTTTGATGCGAGCGGGTAGCGAATTGCCAAAACATACCATAGCTTGTAAAAGAGTTAGCGAAACTTTCAGTTGGCATTAAAGGAACGTTTTCGCAAATCGCCAAACAGCTGTGTATGCTTATGTTTTTGTTTTGTTTTTGGTATCACGTATCTATCATTCACCAAGTTATATATGGGTGTGACATTTCAGAGTTTCAAATACGCTGATCTTCATTAGATTCTTCTGCATTAAATGAAATATAAAGCGTATTTTTTTTTTTANTTTTTTTTTTTTTTTTTTTTTTTGTTATAGCGCCTACATAATCGTTTGTATCTGTTAACATA